GTCAGAATGGTATATATTTATACTTCTCATCCAACCACAATTAAATTCACTCTATCCAGGAGACACAATTTATCAGGATAGGTAACAACTCGGAATAAAATAGGAGTAACGACTGTCTACTTCTTACCTTGTTAAAAAATGTAGTGAGTAGAAAGGACAGATAATTGTGTAAAAATGTAATGAGTAAAAGTAAAAAGTAYGCTGAAAAATAATTACTCAAGTACAGTACAGATAACCAAAGTTTCTACTTAAGTACAGTAACAAAGTATTTGTACTTAGTTACTTTATAACTCTGGAAACGGGTAAAAATCCAACTCCCTGTGGTCGTAGCTGAGTATCAWCCCCAAAATTTAAAACTTTGCCATTATGTGTTGATCCTTCCATCCTTCTTTTTGTCACGGTGATGAGTATCTCCTACTATTAGCACAATCTGAATGTATTAATGAACAAATTGTTAATGTTAAAACTCAAAAAAGCTCAATCTACTTTATTGTAGCAATGTCTTATGTGTTAAAAGCCACTAGGGGGCCAAATAGGCCAACAATGATTAAAACATGAGGAGTTCTAGGTTGGACCTTCTGTAGTGCCTTTGGGATTCAGTATCAATTTCTTTTTTTATTCACAAGCCTTCATGAACAGCATATAAGAAAGGTTATTAATTCTAAATTGGATTTAAGCTAAAAGAAATGGACACAGTTGTGCAGTTATGATTTCTCAAATCAGCCTTTTTCATTTCTTCTGGTTAAAAGTCACTTAATGCCACAGATTTGCTTCTATAACTACAGTATTTCAGTTCAGTGCTTCATTATTACAGTGCTCGTTTATCATTTCTGATTTTCTGTGTGGGGAAASCCTTTGTTTCGCTTCTGTTCATTCATTCAGTCCTGACTAAAACATGTTTTGCCGTTCGGATGYCGACGCGAGGTTCAGTTTAATTAAKCTYCTYGTGTACTGACCTCACCTGACCTCTTTTTAAAAAATTTTTAATCCTGCCACAGAGGGCGAGTATGTGAGCGAGGCCCTGCTGGTGCCCGACAGATGTCGCTTCCTCCATCAGGAGCAGATGGATGCCTGTGAGAGCTACGTCTACTGGCACAACATCGCCAAGGAGGTGAGTTTGGCCACTTTTACAAAAGCTGCTGCAGTTTGATTTAGTTATATGTTTTGTGTTAACTGKTACCACTAAACCAAGTAAAGTAAAAATTTACTCAGCTCAGTTCAGTGGAACCAGTTTGGTTAAGTAAAGTCAGTAGTTCATTTCTTAGAGTGTGTGTAAAAGTACTTTTACTTAACTTTCTGCATTATTGTGAGCAGTTTTATGACTTTTACTTAAGTACTTTTCTTATCAGATAAAAGAAATGTTTACCAGTCATTTTATGTTAAGGTAATTTTACTTTTACTTAGTCATATCTTTAAGTACTTTATGTGCCTCTGCATTTCCGCCACATAATGTGACTTTTGTAAAGCCAGCACTGACAAAGACGTGTAGTTTCACATGACTTTAAAGTGACATTGCCTACACCTGACTTCCTTCGTGCTTGTGACAGGAATGTACGGCAGAGAATCTGGAGCTGCACAGCTATGGGATGCTGCTGCCCTGTGGGGACCATTTCCGAGGCGTTGAGTACGTGTGCTGCCCAGGCAGAGGTAGCTCAACCGGCAGAGGAGAGGCAGAGGAGCGAGACCCACTCGACGTTCCTCAGACGCTCGCGTCCCAGACGAGTGGAAAACTAAACTCTGTGTAAGACGATCCGGCTGCCCTGTATGGAAAAGATGCAGGATTATTATTATTATTATTATTATTATTATTATTATTATTATTATTATTATTATTATTATTATTATTATTATTATTATTATTATTATTATTATTTGTTGCCTCAAAGTGTAACAACAAAAGCATTTACAGACAACAAAAAACAAAAAGGTGTTGAGATTAGGCCCAATAAACACACTAAGACAAATAATAGACACATAAAGAAAAAAAGCAACTAAACTGGTCAAATAAAACAAACAGTTGCAACCATTTTTGTGAAAAACAAATGTAACTGGGCAGTCAGACACTCCATCATATCGACATGTTTAAAGGGGACCTACTATGCAAAATTCACTTTTTAAAGTTTTTTTTACTCAACTTTGGGTATATACTTCTTTAAAAAAAAAAACAGTTCTAGGACCAAAAAAAATGCACCCAGGGGCATATTTACTGTAAGTAAATGTATTTTTTAATGTATATTAACGACAAGTTTTATACTTCTGTCATTTTGTGATGTCACAAGCCGTACGACAACCCACCGGAACCTGTGTTCAGCCCCTTACCTAGCAACCCCCGGGTGAAGCTCCACCTCCTCAGTATAAAGAGCCGTCACAGTGTTGTTGTGTGATGCGCAGCTCATTTCCCAATAACCCTCTAATAGGGCAATGGGTAGAGTGTTGGACCAGAGAGCGGGAGACCAGGGTTTGAGATCGGCATGGACACAATTTAATTATTTATTTATTTTTCGTTCATTATGAACACATTTTCTCATGTTACCTCTATTGTTTAGCTTATTAAAGCCTTGTTAAAGCCTATTTGTTCGAGTTTCTGAGGTATTTTGACCGCTGCTGCTCCCTGCTCTGGTAACAGCATGCAGAGTGAGTGCAGAGCAGAGGAGGGAGAGGAAAAAAAAAAGCTATGACCACGACTCTGCCTCTGGGTCTCATATGGTTGTACAACGGAGCTTCTGCTATTATTAGCCATGCTAACGTAAACACTGGCTTTGGAGAACGGAGTTAATGTCAACAGATTTTTGGAGGGCGTTACCAACAGAGCTCATTAACATAAACAGCTCTTCTGAAYGGAAGTCAGAGCAGGCAGAACTAGAAAATGGGAAATTTTATTATCTGAGAATTATTTTGTGYATTAAATTGAATGAGCATGGTCTGGATAGCCCACAGACATACCATAAAAATTTCTAGGACCCATAATTGGTCTCCTTTAATTCTTGCATCCATTGAGCAACAGTTGGTGGGCGGGGCTTAATCAGGTAACAGTKTTTCTTGCAAATACTACCAGAATGCAACATTGTTCTTCAGTGAGTAAATCATGAGGACATATGTCCTACAGAAATAAAAAAGGGTCCAGGGGAAGATCTGTCCTCAATCTTCTGTTTAATGTTCTCCCAAAAGGTCGTAATTTTGGGGCACCGACTATTACACAACTCCTCCAACATTTATCGGTAGCCGCACTGAAGATTTGTGACGAACGATTGAGTGACGGGAATGAATTTTTTCATTTTATCCCCAGCACCAAAGCAGCAGCTCCCACTCCGAGTCCTTCTCCTGACACGGACGTGGATGAGGCCGATATGGAGGAGGAGGACGATGACGACGACGTGGTGGAAGAAGAAGAGGACGAGGAGGAGGATGACGTCGACGAGGAGGAGGTGGAAGACGAGGAAGAAGAGGAGGCGACGGCTGCCAAAGACCCAGAGGAGTACGAATACTCCTTCGACTCCAGGCCGTATCAGACGTCCGACTATTTGAGCACGTTTTACTCTGAGAACAGCTACAAACCCACCACGGCTGCACCTCTGATGAAGGGAGACAGCTGTGAGTGCTTTCATTTTTCTCTCCCTCCGTCCTTCTGATGAAAGACGTTATCAGTGCCTGTGGAAAAATAACCCAAACTGACCTCTACTGTGTTTCCTGCTGCCTCTCAGAATAGCTCTGATTAGTTTTCTCACAATCCTGCATGCATCTGTCCCGTGCACGCCTGCAGGCAGTAAGTACACACAGGTACTGTAAGTTTGGGGCTTCCTATGATTTTGTACTGAGCCCCAGACCTCAACAAATGTCTGTGGGAATGTGTATTTAGGTTAATCTGGTGCAAAACATGCATTTACAACCACAAAAACAAAACAGCAGAGCTCATTCTCGAGCGCACAGTAAATTAAGCAGTTCACCTTGTTAAGCTAAAGTTTAAACCAAATTCAGGAAGTGAAACTGTCRTATTAAAGTATTGCGTCTGCTTCGGAAAACAGTTAATGGAAAAGCGAACAGTGGTTGATTATGTAATGAGGTTAGGTAGAGTACTGTGTTGTTGTTAGTAGTAGTTGTTGTTTTATTAAAAACTCAAAAGTAGGTTAAAGAAACCAATATTTAGCTTTTACTTCCATTTAATTTATGTGTCACAGAACTGTGTATGTACAACCACAATGCTATAATTGTGTAATGTGGAAAAAAAAACAATGCAATAGTTTGTAGAGCTCACAAACCCAAAAATCATTCACAAGAAGATATATTTATTATCTCAAGAGTTTAAAGTAATTCATTTTCAGGCAACAAATAATATGATTTTAATGGCAGTAACACATCTCAAAAAAGTGAGAACAAGGGTAACAAAAATATAAAAGTAACTGGAGTGAGAAATAGCTGGAGGAGCATTTTACAACTCGTTAATAGCAACAAACAGAAATAAAGACTTTAAAATGAGCGTTTTGGAGAGGCTTACTCTCTCAGAAGTAAAGATGGGCGGAGCTACTCAGTTAGCGAAACACTGTCTAAAATAGTGAAACAATTTCAGAATTATGTTCCCCAACAGGTAATAGGAAAAAATGTAAATATCCCATCTGCAGTTCGTTAAATCGTCAAACAATTTGAAGTATCTGGAGAAATACAKGATCTGTGTGCATCTGACCAGGTCAAAGGCCAGTAGTGAATGCCTGCGACATTCTGGCTCTCTGGCAGCATTTTATTAAAACCTGCATAAACTCAAGAAGGCTTCCAAACATTAATGTCTGTAAACACATTTTAATATGCTGTCCACAAATACTGCAGTCTACTCTGGGCTCATTTAAAGTGGAAATATGCTTTTAAATCCTTCTTTTCTTACATTTTAATCATTCACTTGGGGTCTGTTGAGAAAAACTTCAATGCTTTGGTCTGAATCCCTCCTTAATGTAACTCCACAAGCCCCTCTTTCACCCCTTTTCTGAGGTGTGTCTCAGATCAACTCGTTTTTGATGCTGTCTCTTCAAACAAGGTGCTTCACACACCGCCCCCCTCCAGCTTCCAAACCGGTTCTTTCCAGTTTGATAGACGGGTTACGACTATGTCCATCCAGCCTTACATGTTGGAGCCAAAGTCTGACCCAGAGCCAGAGGAGAATGAAGACAACCAAATTGTAGTTTGGTTTGTAGTCCAGACCTTATTTAGCACTTCTGTCACAAATACTGTGATGTAATAGTTCAGAAAACACTGTAGAATAGAGAAAACTGAACGGGCTGAGAAAAATGACCCAAACAGAATATAAAGACATCTACAAAGCACCAGGAGAGACTAAATTAAACTTGTCTGCACTCCTAGAGACTCCAAGTGTACAACAAAATGTATTTAAAGGTTCAGAAAAACTGTTCTGTGGTCAGATGAATGAATTTTTTTTAATTACAAACAGATCTGTCTTGTTATTGGCACACAGTTCAGCCTGCCTCGCTAATGGTATGGGGTTGCATTTGTGCCTATATGACATGGAGAGCTTACATATCTGGAAACGCACCATCAATTCAGAAATTTAGATACAGATTGTAGAAAAACAGAAGCTTCCATCCAGGGAAGGCTTTGCTTATTTCACCTCCATCACAGTAGCGTGGCTTTTAGTGGAAGAGTTCGGAACTGAACTGGCCTGGCAGTCCAGACCCCTCACCAGCTGAAAACATTTGGTGCATCATGACGCTGAAAAAAAAAGAAAAACTTCAAAGCAGACTTGAAACTGTTGAGCAACGAGAGTCCTGCATCAAACAGGAATGGGATAACGTTTGATATGGGTTTACGAGATTTCCAAATCAGTGTGTTCTCTTTTTAATACCATTTTACAACAGATCTTCTTTTGGTGTTATTAGTAAATGGGCTGCAGTGTTACAAATCTAAATTAAGACATAAACAGATTGTTTTATAGTTGTGGGATTGTCCAGTTAATGTGTTTGGACCGTCCAGTTAATGTGATTTTTAACAACCCATTTCCTGTCCCCCCCCTCCCCACCCCCTTCCAGTCACCACGCCTCGGCCCACAGATGGTGTCGATGTTTACTTTGAGAARCCAGTGGACGACACGGAGCACGTCAACTTCCTGCGCGCCAAAACAGACCTGGAGGAGCGCAGAATGAAGCGCATCAACGAGGTACGTTCTGCTGCGCCGAGAACAGGCCGAYAGCCCGTTTGCTGCCAGCAGGTCCTGCTTTTTTCACAGGTGGTTCGTTAGCGAGGATGGACGTTTTCTCCAATAGTCAGTCAGCCCGGACATGATTCACCCGCTTTACAGGAGCCAACATAGAAAGAAACRTGTGACGTTCCGTTAAAAATACAGATTAAAAGCTGGGAAAGGATGCATTTTTGTTTTTTACAGTTGCACTTCATTCTTTCTATTTGCAAAACAACAGCCGGCATTCTAGAGCAGTTGTCATCTTTGTTTGATCAGACAAGTGTTTTACCATTTTCTGAAAAATACACAATTGACAGGGTCTTAAAGTGCCTGTGACATCAATTTTTTATTATAATATATATGAGTGTATTTTTGCAACGATAACATTGATAACATATTGTAAAATAGATTTCACGCTGCTGAGATGAACAGTTGTTGAGATATTTGCATGTGAAGAAACAGGAAGTGATGTCAAAGGGGAATGTGAATGTAAACAGAGCATTGCTAAAATGGCTAACAACASAGACTGTAGAATATTTTAATCACTATCATRGAGAGATGAGAGAGTCGTAGTTCATTAAATAAACAAAAACCAGGGAGTTTTCTTTCTCAAAGGGTTCCCCTTTGATGTCAMTTCCTGTTTCAATTTAGCAGAGTAAAATTCAGAAGAAAATATGCCAAATATATGTGACATAACAGGCCAACTCATGTATTATGCCAAGTTTCTCAAATGTAAATATATTTTCTTGGACTTTTTGTATTTCATAGATATGCATGTCACAGGCACTTTCAGTATTAGAATAATAAACAATATAAAGAAGCTTTAGTGGTGGATGGGTATCTTTCACATTCAAATCAAACAAACATAAACAACACAAACATTGATTTGACAGATTACTACTAGTGGATTTTTTTATTTTATCATTACAATCATCTGAGTTCCCTTTGATGAATTCTTGAAGGGATTCATAACTAAATTCAGCTCTGAGTTGTTAGGGAGTTATTTCGTATTTATGTACCTTTATTAGCTTGTGCACAAGTTATACAGGGATTTTTTTAAATTATTATTATTATTATTATTATTAAAGTGGACACATTTAAGACAGAGTGCATACTTTTACATTAATTATCTTAATTTGTGCCTTTCATCGCTCAGATCATGAAGGAATGGGCCGAGGCTGACAACCAATCGAAAAATCTGGCAAAGTCTGAGCGTCAGGCCCTGAACGAGGTAAAAATTACATTTCTGGACCTGCTTTGATCAAAAAAAAAAAAAGAAAAGAAAAAAAAATCACATTGCAGGAGAGATAAAATGGACTCTTGCTTCGTTCATATATCAACCCACTCRTTGTGTCTGAACCAGCACTTCCAGTCCGTGCTGCAGACGCTGGAGGAGCAGGTCGCCGGGGAGAGGCAGAGAATGGTGGAAACTCATCTGGAAAGAGTCGAGGCCATTCTCAACAACAATCGGCGCCTGGCTCTGGAGAACTACCTGACGGCCGTGCAATCGGATCCCCCCCAGGTACGTCTGTCCCTGCGGCGCAGGCGAGGGCCGAACACTGAGAGAAAACTCGCCTCGTCTGCTTTACATTTGGAGTTTTTCCCCGTCCCAAACTTTCCTGTCTCGACTCCCAGCCCGAGCGGGTGCTGCAGGCTCTGAAGCACTACATGGCGGCCGAGCAGAAGGACCGCAGACACACGCTGAGGCACTACCAGCACATCGTGGCCGTCGACCCCCAGAAAGCTGAGCAGATGAAATTCCAGGTGAGCGCCTCGTCGATGTGAGGGCGCTTTCTGCTGACAGCGAAACTCCCGGAACGCTGCGTTCCGAGGAGTTCCAGCAGATGAGTTATTCCTGTAGCAAAGCTGTTCTCCTAAAGCAACTTTAAGYAAGCCTTTGTGCTTCGCAGGTGTACACACATCTCCACGTCATCGAGGAGAGGATGAACCAAAGTTTCGCTCTGCTGTACAAAGATCCTACGTTAGCTGAGGAGCTGCACTACGACATCCGTAAGACGTTATTTACAAACTGTTCCAGTTTGAAGTCATTCGTGTTTTGTTTCTTGTCCCATTAATGTTAATTATTTACGCTTGTTTTTTGTGCATTCCTTTTAGAGGAACTAGTGAAGGCGGAACGWGGCGACATCAGCGAACTCATGACCACCTCCATTTCTGAAACTCGCACCACCGAGGAGCTGCTGCCGGCCGAGAGCGAGGAGGAAAAGGACGATGAGGAAGAAGAGGATAGGCCTTACCCTCTTCGTATTGGTACTAGTTCAACTAATAATCATAAACATCCACAAAGCTAATATATACAGTATATATA